TGTTGCCCCTCCCCACTATCCCTCTCTCCTGCTTTCCCACCTATTATATTCTAATCAGCTTACTCCATTTCATACTGTGCTCTGTGTTGTCTTTTCACATCATCTGCTTAAGTTAATTTGGTTTCACAAAAGCGTGTGAACCAAAATTCTTTATATTATATCTTATTTAGTTAGTCTATAAAGGTGCATATCAGCCCAACCTTTTGAATGACTTCAGACTAACATAGATAACTATGTCTTAACTTTGGCCACGTGCAGACAAAATGAGGGGCATGTGTGCATGACACATTAAAGCGGGTTAAAAGCTTTTCCACCTTTTTAATGGTGTTGGTGTTTGCACGTGTCACTGGCGTATGGTCCAGTAATTCCAGCCACTGTAACAAATTCAGCAGCATAATGACTGGGGGCACAGCAAACTAAAACTCCTTCAAAGAGTTTTAGTTTGCTGCTCTACTGCTGTGGAGCGAAGCACTGGACTCCGTGCAGCTCAGGGGCTCTGCAGGAAGCCCAGGCAGGCAGCCTGGCAGCAGCCCAGGAAAGCAGGCTCCACCCAAGACTTTTTTTTTCCTCTGGAGCCTGCCTGAGCTGCATGGGAGCCCAGTGCTTCCCTCCGTGGCTGCAGTGCTCCCCAGGACCACTCGAGCTGGGTGCCTGTGGGTGGGTGCCACTGGGGGAGAGGCGCTGCCACCATGGAGGAAAGCACCAGCCCTGTCCCCCCACCCTCCTCCAGTCCAGGGACCACTCTGTCCACCAGCAGCTTACCCTCCCCTCCCTGACACCAGAGAGACAGGTAAGTTCAGGTGTGTGCACCACATGGTGGTTTAAAGGGCCCTAAACTGGAGCAGTGTTTTTAAAAACCCACCGCCTCAATTTAGGGCCTTTGTCTATATCTTCCAATTTTAAGTGAATGCTACATAGAGGAAAACAGAGGGTGCACAAGAACTTCCAAGGCAGATTTTAACTCATGCATTTTAAATACACAGTCCTATTAAAAGTACAATAACAAGTACTTTTAAGTATGGAAAACTACATTTTAGCTTTAAAGGGGGACAGAGAGGTGCTGCTTGGGATTTTGAAGCACCTGTTATGATTTAACTGTTCCAGCTGCATGATTATTAAGCATCCATGAGAAACAAAACCACTTCAATTTTAGCCCTCTTCACTGAGGGTTAATATTAGGACAATTTAGGTAACTTGTATCACTACAGAATATTACTTGTATCAGGATCAGTATCCTTTGTTGCATTTGTCTATACATTTAGTATTTCAGTAAGCAACTTGAAGTCTGACACAGCACTCACTTGACTTGTCTGAGATATGCGACGTGTCCGGTTATAAAGAGCCATAGTGTCTCCTTCTCTTGTTCTTTCAATTCGCCATCCCCAAGCTAGCATAGTTTTCAAAGACTCCTTGATGGGCCACCGATAAATTTCTTTCTCCTAGGAAAAGCACACAGGAAGTGAAAGGGAAATGACTGTCTTGTTAATTATGCACCACTTAAGGGAGTAAAATCTTCCAGACAGGTGCGAAAACACCACTGCATTGTGCTGCACCTCAAATTTATATCAAGTGAGACAAACTGCAAATCTAGCCTCTCTGTATAGTGACACAGTTAAGAAATGGTGCGTGGATGAGGAGGCCAACAAAAAAGTAAGGAAAACAGTGCATCTTTGAATGACTTACTGGGTATATCTACATAAGTTGCTTACTGAGGAGTAGACTAGTCTACACATCTACATGTGAAGCACTATTAGGCCGGAGTAAACTAATTTACTCTGCCACAGAATAGTACTGCCAGATACAAGCACTATTCTTCACAGATTTCATAGACTTCATAGACATTTGGGCTGGAAGGGACCCTGGAGGATCATCGAG